CCCAAGAAGAGGGTCTGAGCCGGGCCAGGCTGCAACGTCCACCACATCACGCAAAGGCTGAGACAGAGGGGAAAGACTATGCTGGGTGAGGACCTGCCTTGCATGCACCAGGGTCCCATATGGGAGCTGGTTTGTGTCCCAACGGCTCCACCTCCCATCCAGCTCCCTGCTTGTGGCCTGGGAAAGCAGTCGAGGACGGCCCAAAGCCTTGGGACCCTGCACCCGCGTGGGAGACTCGGAAGAGGCTCTGGGCTCCTGGCTTGGGATAAGCTCAGCTCCAACCATTGCGACCACTTGGGGAGTGAATCATCGGACGGAAGATCTTCCTCTCTGTCTCTCCTCCTCTCTTTATATCTGACTTTGTAATGAAAAATGAAATAAATCCTTAAAAATTATTTATATAAAAAAGTGTTTAAAAAATAATAGCAAAAAGAAGAAATAAAGGCAGGCAGGCAAGAATGCAGTAATTACTGAAGAGTGAAGTGTGCAAGGAAGGGATTAGAAGACAGAAAGACAAAGCGTTATATTTTTAGATTTGAATGTAGTTCATCTATTGAATTGAATTTGTCATAACTAAGATAGTTCATATAAAAAATTCATCTGCTAAAATGATAAAACAGCTAGTGATGTCACTTGCTAAAAACATAAAATAGGGTGGTCAGATGTATAAACAGAAGTTCATAGAAAACAACCACATGGAGGAGAATAAAGTCAACATCAGATCTTGAATAAGCAAATCAAGAAGCCAACAGTGAGGCCATGATTTACATCAGCTGTGTGAGAACTAACTTCCGACGACACGTGTCCTACTGAAGTTTACTTTCTGATGGCATTCCACCTGGGAAAACTCATGCCCAAACACCGACTTTGCCTTGCCCGTGACTCAACTCCACGTACTCACCAGGAGATTCACCTCGCCTCTGGGAGGGTGATTTGGGGCTCCCCTAGGTGACATGAATGACACAATAAACAAGGTCAGTGGGCAGCAGGTGACACAGTGGCCTGTGTGCTGGGTGCAGGCCTGCTTTCTGTCCCTGACACAGTCAGTGCTGGGCAGACCCAGCCTCTGCCAGCAGCCACCCAGTGTGGGGGAAGCCACGGGCTCCAGGAAGGATCTGCAGCCCAGCCTGGAGAGTGGGAGGGAGGCGTCGAGGCCTTTCCCACCTGCCCACCCCACACTCTGCGCCTGCTCAGAGACTCCCTTTCCTCAGGTACTTCCCTCCAGTAAGTCTCCGTGGTGATGGCCCACTGTCCCATTGGTCACTGACACTGGTTTTCTGTTCCTGCCTCTGATCTCACGGGTCTCCAGGTCTTCCGTGTTTATTTGCTGCTCTTTCCTTTTGTCCTGAGCTCGCCTCTTTCCTTTAAAACCCAAATCAATATTTTTGCTAATTAATGTGCCTGTAATTTCATTTTATAATTTCCCTATTTTAGCGTTATTTTCACTTGTTTTTATAGCATTATTCCATTCTTAATCATTACTTTTAATTTCAAATTAATGGATACAGTTCTTCATTAAAAATGTGTCTGTCACAATTGTATCAATTGATGTCCTCTCTCAATAGGGATTTTATTTTGTGATACATCAGCTATGTTTTTTTATTTACATATTTATGTTATTTAAACAGCATCAGCCTTTAATCTTCTTTTAAAAATCCACAATTTTTATACTAAAATTGTTTTTGGTAACTGAGAATTTCTCAAATTCTTTAAGGGATTTAATCAGTGAGTCTGAATATATTTCTCAAAACATAGAATCACTCAATGATAAAAGGCTTAATTTCTTGTAATATTGATGTTATTCTTCTTCTTAATATAGTCTCCTGAGAAAATACGATGCATAGAAGTAGAATAATATTTTTTTTATTCATATTCAATCCCAAGGCAAAAATCCTCCAATATTTAATCATTATATGAAAGTGTTGACATAATGTTTCATCATCTAATGAATTTTATCAATTGATATCTTTTTTTTCTCACTTAATGCATAAGTATGGCTAAAGTTAAACATAATATTTTCATGTTAAATTTGTTATTCCTCTGGTATGGTCACTTGCTAGACTTTATCGGATAGCTTTGGAAACTCTCAATACACGTTGTGTGGGTCATTTTCCCTGGGACTGTTGAGCCGGGCAGTCTCATCTTTGTGCTTCTCGTGACGCGTGTGTCATTTTTGCTACCAGGCTTTTTTGTTCAGCTCATGACATGCTCAACAGAATGCTCTTCTGTCCTTAGGAAGTGACCGCAGATATTTTTGTAAGTCACCGTTGAAACCAACTTTGCGATTCGTCAAGGGCCGATTTTTTTTCTTTCTACTCCATTTAATCACGATGAGCTTAGAGTGTTTGTGAGTCTACAGCTGTCATGTGTTTGTGGTGATTTAATTCTCTCAGAATTTAGCAGTATGTCAGCCTTCCAAGGATTTTGGCATCATCCTTCCAATTATCACCTTCTAAATGTCATCCTAACTCTCAGCTGGCATGCTTCAGAATTCTCTAGAATTTTTAAGTCTGGTATCGATGTCTTCTATGTAGGAAGTGCTACCACCTCTCTAGCAGCTTGTTACTTTTCAATTTTGTTATTCTTCAGAATCGCATTTTCACTTGATTTTTCCTCCTTCGAAAATTCACAATACGCACAGGTTTTCTTTTGACTTGGATCTAAGACACTCTTGTCTTTTAAACGTAGTGAAAACCCAATAGAATCTCTTGCTTCGTTGTAAATTTCTGTAATAAATTACTCTGTTCAGTTAAACTCTCCCACTTTGTTCCCATCCCTTCAGCATTTGCTCTAGGACTGTGTAGGTCACGTGGTGCGGGTTACCGCTGAGCGGGGGAGTTGGGCATCTGATGGTGACTTGCGTGTTCTTCAGTCTCTAGGTGGAGTGAATGAATGATCTGACTTGCTCATGGTTTATTGTCTGACTGACTTTTTTTTTGTCTGGTGGGTCTCAGTATTAACTATTTTCTTTTTGCAATTCAGCAGAAATCGAATCGGTTAAGCTAAACTGTTCAGGTATGGCTCTCGGTGCCACAAGGTGCAGGTTACAGCGGAGAAGGGGAGTCGGGCATTTGAGTGTGACTTGTGTGTTGGTGAAGGTGTTAGTTGGAATGAATGAAGTGACTTGCTCGTGGTTTTACCGTCTGACTGACGTTTTGTCTGGTGGTCCTGATGCTACGGAAAACCTGTGGTTACATCTCTTACTAGAGTGATGCTTTTTCCCAAGTGTTTTTATGTTAAATATTGATTTTGTTGCTTTGTATTCACAAATGTACACTTCCACTGCTGAATTTGACTCCATGACATATAGTGATGCTGGATTTTAAGTGCTGTTTTTGTCCAGTATGTCCTTGGTGCACCTATTGTCAGTGGCTTCATATGTCGTTGTTTGTTGTGAAATTTGTTTGTCTTTCTTTCTTTTTTTTTAATATGTGTCTTATAAAAGTGTTGTAATCACCTTGAAGTTGAGTTTATCTCGTATTTATCTGAACACTCCATTCATGTACAAGTGATCCTTGGCCCAATATTAAGTTTAATTCTATTACTTTTGGATCATATACTATTTGTTTTGCAAATGTGAACGTATTGTATAGCTAGGGTTGTGGGCTTTTTGATGCTCTCATTCTCTGCTTTTGTGGATTTATCCCATTTTCATTAATTTATCAGCTTTATGGAGACATAATTCACAAGTAAAAGTCTCTATTTTCACTTGTGTTTAACTGATATGGGTGTGGGCATCCAAGACATAGTGTTTACCATTTCATTGGTGCCAGGTCAGCCTGCATTAGAAATTAGAATAGTCAACCACTATCAACCATGTCAGGCAACTCAAAGAATGCCGCTAATAAATCACAAATGACAAAGAAATGAAAAGAAACCAAAGGGCTCACAGTGGACCAATACCCTCATAAGATTCTTTCATGTTCTTCCACTGTGTAGACTTGAGAACGCCATTGCTTTCACAGCAACTGATGCCAGAGAGTTGTGGTCCAAGTGGGAACGCAGCTGAGGCAGTTCAGATCCTCTGGCAGGAAGGTGACGGCTTACACCACAAAGACACAGTCTCTGAGAGAATGGTACACGCCAAACTCCACAATCCAGTAAAGAGATGAAGTGTTCACTCTATTTATCTGACTGTGAATGCCCATGACTGTGAAACTGTTCTTATTTTCACTGTATTTGTGAACTGACCAGTTCTGTTTCTGTAACAAATGAACAAAAAGAGAGTTGGTCATGCTTGCAGTGAGCCAACAGTGAACTGACAAAACTCAGGGGTGCTTTGTTAGACTGGGTTCATCAATGGTGGCGTGACTACCTGTTAGGCTAGAAAGCTTGTGGTCTATCCTGTGCATCGTGGGAAACTTGGTAGCAATCTCAGCCTCTACCTGAGTGCTGGAGAGGGGAGGGCAGGGGAAATATCACCTGTCATTTTTTTTTTTTTGCTTTGGATTTTAAAATCTAATTCTATTTTTGATTGTCACAATATGTGATTGTCTAAATGTACATCTAGTCTGAAATACATGATTAAAGACTTTTTCTACTAGAAAGTATTGTGTCTGCAGTACTAATTCTAAAAAAATCAGTTGAAATACACAAAATGCATTTCATGGTAGAAGCAGACTGTTCTTTAGGAAGGTTAGAGTGTGCACGTAGGTTTATAAATAAGTAGTTAAATATTCTGAAGCAAATACAGCATGCACACTTGCCATTCAGAGAGGCCAATATGTGCTCATGACAATATTCTAGCACACAGGTGATCGAGTTTGAGTTCCACGTTTTTTCATATCACTTAATTCTATCTTGCAAGCTCAAGGGATGCCTGAAATCCAGTCCCTGGAAGTGCCACAGCTGGATCTGAAACGCAGAAGATTCGAACTTTTCGCCAACCTGCTCTCCAATAGAACTGTTGTTCCTCGTTGATAACTGCACAGTAGATTCAACTCATTTTTTCAGAGGAGGCCATCTCACCCAGGTAAAACATCGAAGACATCGTTGAGACAATGTCTTCAAGTGACACACTCTTTGGCTTCTTTCTCTTAGGGCAGGTTGTTACTGGGATTGTGGCAAACTCAGTGCTCTTCCTGCTGTATGCATACGTCTTCCTCCGCCAGCCTCATCTGAAGAAATCTGTAGATTCGATTTTCATGCACCTGACAACGGTCAATACTTTAGGTATCATATTCCAGACTCTACCAGAAATCATGTCATTCTTCAGAGTTAAAAAATTCTTGGATGATATTGGCTGTCAGACTTTTCTGTACCTGTACAGAGTTACCCGGGGCCTTTCCATCTGCACTACGTCTCTGCTGAGTGTGTTTCAGGCCATCACTGTCAGTGCCAGTCATTCTAAATGGGCGTGGCTGAAGTCTCAACTCTCCGAGTGGATTTTGCCCTCTTTGCTTTCCTTCTGGGTCATCAACATGGTGATCAACGTGCATATAATTAGAATTGTAAGAGCCAAATCGAATGACTCCTTTGTTGGTAAGGGATATGTGCATGCCTACTGTGAAAGCGGTAAGTTTAACAATCATCTTCCAGGTTTATTTATAAGTGTCATTATGATCCATGATGTCCTGTTTATGGTGCCCATGGTCGGGAGCAGCCTCTACATGGTGCTCATCCTCTACAGACACCGCAGGAGAGCCCGGCACATCCACAGCCTCACTCACTCTTCTCAGTCATCTGCAGAAAACAAAGCCACCCGCACTATCCTCCTGCTGGTATCATGCTTCGTGTTCTTCTATGTCGCGAACAACTTTTTGACTTTCTATGGGATTTATAAATATGAGAAAAACTATCTATTGGAGTGTGTTGCTAGAATTTTATCAGCATGCTACCCAACATTCTGCCCCTTTTTGCTGATGAAGAATAATAAAATCATTCCAAAATTGACTTCTTTCCTTTCAAATATGAGAATGATCTTTTCTCCACGAGCTCAGTGTGGCTGAGCTGAGAACATCCACGACAGCGGAGTCTCCACAACGATCTAAGAATCCGTGTGTCTATAGCACTTGAAATGGGCTACTCTGAATTGAACGGTGGAGTTCATTTGAAAAGCTTTTTTTTTTTTTTTGTATTTTAATTTTTTGGAAATCTAAATGTAAACATTTATTTTCACACTGATTACATATTTATGCTATTTTAGGCCAATTAAATGTGTTATATAATGTGAAAGCTATCTGTGTATGCCTAATTTTGTCTGCAGTGCGGACAGCTCTCCACCACTTCTCCTGCCCTCTTCCGAATCGCAGTTTTTTCTCCTTGATCCAGAGTTGAAAATGCTCTTTTCCTTGAATTTCCAAAATCGGTTTTATGATTGACCAATTCCCCTTCAAAGGCATTTTCTAAATTATCATTTTGAAAGTACCACCAGCACTTGGCAATGAGCCTGCTCCGTGAACTTCCGTGGTGGGCCCAGCCGTGTACCAGCACCCTCGCCAGGAAGCAGGACCCCATGTGTGTCTCACCCTTCCAGTCTGCACTGCACGATGTACACTGGCCAAAGCTTTGGGCTGGGAGTTTTTTTTTCCAGGTTTCCCATGTGGATGACAGACCACGTGGTTCATCTTTCTTTGCTTTTTCCAGGCCATCATCATGGAGCAGTTTGAGTCAAATTATCTTCATATGGCTTGATGGTGTTGCTTTAGGCAGCTTTTGTGTTAATGCCTGCTCTGATTTTAGGAGAGGTTTTGAAGGTGTTTTGATTCCTTTTTAGTTGTTTTTTTTTTTAAACAGTATCTTTTTCTTGTCTTATTTATGTTTTATGTTGTAATTTTTCTTTTTTGCGGGGGGGGGATCAGGAAAATACCAGATGTACACTCCTACACAATCTCTTCCCAAACACCTGCAATCCTGTTATGGGTCCCAGCTGAAGCTGGGAGCCAGGAGCTCCAGCTCCTACATGGGTGGCAGAAGCCTATGCGTTGACTGGTCACCTGTTGCCTAGCAGCGTGTGCACTTGCATGAAGCTGGCATTGGAGATCACTGCTGGGCATCGGCCTCAGACACCTGACCATCAGTGCCCAGGGATGAGGGAAATCCACCTGATATCATACCCAGACTCCCTGATGTGGGGCATGTTCAGAGGGTACTGCTTAAGTGGTTTCTGTAGTTCTGAGATGTTGATTTCATTGTTGCTAGGTTGAGGGAATCCTCCCAAGGTCCACTGGCTGACATAATTCACCTTACAGTCTCCACCTGCCTAGATACTTGCTGGCAGAGCTTGCGAAGGGCAGTTGTCTGATTTGTTCTGCCATCCGTCCTCTGCCATGGTACTGGACGTACTCTGCAAGCCTCAATGATCTGTCATGTGTTCCATGTGCATCTGGCCATACCTTCTACTGCTCAGGCTGCAACAACTGAGGAGACCCAGTTCTGATGCATGCGTTCCAGGGTCAGACCACAGATCCTGTGATTTCCCTATGGTTAGAGTTTTGAGACCATCAATCCAGTTTTGGCGTGGGGGCAGGGACAAGAAGCTTTGCCAGAGGTGAGCCCAGAACTGACTCCTGTGTGTACTAGCCAGCGTGGGTTCTGGCTCAGTCCATCATGCACATCAGCTTGCACACACACTGGTGGTTGCAGTTGCTGGTGACTTCTGTCCCCAGTCCCAATATATAACCAAACCAATGGATGTTGCAGTGCAGCCTAACCCTGCCCACCACACACTTGGCTCTCACACACAGCAGCAGGAACTGCAGCCTAGTTGGAGTGATCCCCAATAACCTTCACTATACCATCCTGTAGCACTGGCTCCTGTGCTTGCCAGTATGTGCAGCAGACTGGTCTAGTCTGTCCCACATCCCATTCAGCTCTTGCACACATCAGTGGGCATTGGAGCCTAGCTCAACCCAACAGACTACTATCAAGCTCACACTCATGCCAAGAGGTGTGACTGCCTGTCTAGCCTGAAGGTCTTGCCCCAATCTGAGCACCTGCTAGCCAACGCTGCAGCAAAAGCGGACTAGCCCATGCTTACTCTGGCTCTTTCGTGCATCAGTGGATATGGTTGCCTAACCCAGCTTGGCTTGTCCCCTAACCCACCACATGTGTAGGCCAGCAGGTTCGGTAGCCCTGCCCAGCTTGGTCTACCCCAGTGCCAGCTCTCATGCTCATCAGATTGAGCAGTGGTGCACCAGGCGAATTCCCCAAGTTCTCCCCAAGGTCCACTCACAGACCCAGATCTCACATGTGCCAGTGGATGCCAGGCCCTTGCCCAGCATATTCTGTTTCCTGTGTCTCAGCCTTTGTGTGAGATGCTGGATGCTGTGGTCCAGCTCATCCCAAACTATTCTTGGGTGCACCTATGGGTGTGGCATCCTGGGACAGCTAAGCTTGTTCCCAACCCCAGTACCTATGAGTGTCTTGGTAATCTGCGGTCATGGTTAGCTCAGCTCGTTACCACTCCCAGCCCTTGAGCAAACCACCTGGTATGGAAGTCCTACAGGGCTGAGCCCACAAATCTTCACCAGAATCTGCTCATAGATGTGGTTCTCTGGCATGCTGTTTAGTGTCATGACCCAGCCTGACATTGTCCCTCCTAGCCCCAACTCACTGGTGGATTCTGTGTTCAAGCCCTGCCAGGCAGGCCTCCCAGCGATGGCTTTTATGTGTACTGGCAGATGGTGGTTGATACCAACTAGCCCAGCTCAGGTCTCACACTTGGGTAGGTGTTTTTGTCTGACTCATAAAAGTCTTCCAGAGTCTCTCCTCCAAACCACCCAGTCTCAGTCCCCTCATTAGCCTACCTGTGCAGTTAACCTGGTTGCTGAAAGTACCCCAGGTGTCACTCCTCAACTGTCTCATTCTCTCTCAGCAGTTCTCCCTCCAACACATCTCCACACCGGCTTTGCTGAGCAATCAACAGCCCCCCATGCCTGTAAGCCCATCCTCTGGCGGTATGTCATGTCACCCTTAGGTCTTGCCCACCTGCCTGGGTCCCGCATTTGCTTAGGAGCAGGTCTCCAGGTCCCGTCTCCCATCAGCTGTGTGAGAACTAACTTCCGATGACACGTGTCCTACTGAAGTTTACTTTCTGATGGCATTCCACCTGGGAAAACTCGTGCCCAAACACCGACTTTGCCTTGCCCGTGACTCCACGTGCTCACCAGGAGATTCACCTCGCCTCTGGGAGGGTGATTTGGGGCTCCCCTAGGTGACATGAATGACACAATAAACAAGGTCAGTGGGCAGCAGGTGACACGGTGGCCTGTGTGCTGGGTGCAGGCCTGCTGTTCTGTCCCTGACACAGTCAGTGCTGGGCAGACCCAGCCTCTGCCAGCAGCCACCCAGTGTGGGGGAAGCCACGGGCTCCAGGAAGGATCTGCAGCCCAGCCTGGAGAATGGGAGGGAGGCGTCGAGGCCTTTCCCACCTGCCCACCCCACACTCTGCGCCTGCTCAGAGACTCCCTTTCCTCAGGTACTTCCCTCCAGTATGTCTCCGTGGTGATGGCCCACTGTCCCATTGGTCACTGACACTGGTTTTCTGTTCCTGCCTCTGACCTCACGGGTCTCCAGGTCTTCTGTCCACCGAGTGTTCTTCACTTTGCTCCTACGTTCTTCTCTTTTCTTTAGTTGGAATTAATGTGCTTTTCATTTTTTTAAAGATTTATTTTTATTATTTATTTATTTTTATTGGAAAGGTGGATATACAGAGAGGAGAGACAGAGAGGAAGATCTTCTGTCCGATGATTCACTCCCCAAGTGGTCGCAATGGCTGCAGCTGAGCTGATCCTAAGCCAGGAGCCCAGAGCCTCTTCTGGGTCTCCCACGCGGGTGCAGGGTCCCAAGGCTTTGGGCCGTCCTTGACTGCTTTCCCAGGCCACAGGCAGGGAGCTGGAAGGGAAGCGGGGCTGCCGGGATTAGAACCGGCGCCCGTATGGGATCCCGGGCGTGCAAGGCGAGGACTTAACCACTTGCGCCACCGCGCCGGTGTGTTTTTTTAATTAAAGATTTATTCATTTTTATTACAAAGTCAGATATACAGAGAGGAGGAGAGACAGAGAGGAAGATCTTCCGTCTGGTGATTCACTCCCCAAGCGACTGCAACGGGCCGGTGCGGCGCCCATATGGGATCCTGGCGCGTTCAAGGCGAGGACTTTAGCCGCTAGGCCACACTGCCGGGCCCCATCATTGTGTTTTTAAAAATCATACAGTCACTCCATGATGAAAGACTTAATTTCTTTGTGATGATGTTACTATTCTTTTACTTAAAACAGACCCCTGAGAAAGCATGATGCATGGAAGTGGATATATCGATTTTTAAAATTCCTATCCAATCTCAAAGAAAAAAACCTTCAATATTTAACCATTTATAGTGTTGACATTAGATTTTTTCATGTGTTGTCAGACTACATACGCATTTTAGTATTTTACGTATCAATTGATGTGCTTATGTTTAATTTGAAGTTTAGTTCCTATCTGTGGATACCTCATTTGTCTACAGAAAACAAGGCCCACATATCATATTTAACTCTCCTGCTTTTTGATGACAGTATGTGACTGTTGTATTTGCAATGTGAATGCATTTGACAGCCCAGACTAAAGGATGTGGTATTTTTGATTCGCACATTCTCTGCAATTGTTTGTTGGGTTTAGTCCGTTTTCATTCATTTGTCAGCTTTATGGAGGCATAATTCAGAAGGGAAGCCTGCATTTTAACTGGAATTTTATTTGTAGTTATACACACATTCAAATTAGTCTTTATCATTTCTCCTAGTTGTCAGGATGCATTGTAAAAAATTAGAGTAGTTAATAACGGTCAAGAATGTTAGTTACACAATTTCAAATAACTTTAGATGAAAAATCCTAAATTAAAAAGAAGTAGAAGGAACCAACTGGATCCTGGGAGACCAGTACTCTCATATGACTAATGTTCTTCCGCTGTGTAGACTTGAGAACGCCATTGCTTTCACAGCGACTGATGCCAGAGACTTGTGGTCCAAGTGGG